TATCAGTTTCTCAAAGTACAGTGATTGCTCTTTTGAAAGGAAATTGTTTTTTCTCTCTAGTGTGATAAACTGTGGGACAACGTGTCTGCACCAGATGCCCTCTGGTCCTGGGAGGCCTGCAGAGAATATGAATGAAAAGCATCAGGCATGTGCTTACCTTCTCACTACAATCCAAGTCACAATGAGAGCCTTTTGGTTGCTTATCAGAGCCCATAAGCAACAACATTGTGATGTTAGTAATAAACACTAAGCCAGCAAGATGTTCTTCAGAACAAATCTTTGCAGGATTAAGGAAGTTGCCATAGAATTTGCTTAAAATTTGAATCTGGAACCCAAGCCAGTATAAGCCCTGTTTATTAAGGAGAATAGGCAAGCTGTGGCAAATCTCCAACCCTCTTTTGGGAGAGTCTTCAAACCATGGGTAAGCAGTACATGTCCGAAATGGTTTAAGTGTGCTGTTGCCTGCAGTAAGAGAAATTGATTGAGATAATCTACAAAGGCCCTTTTGGTTAGAGCCACCCAATCCTGAAATATTCAATTTATACAAACAGCTCATACTTTGGTAAAAGAAATAGTGAAAACCAGAAAGACATTAGATTTCAAGAGACCTCTTCGCTAATATGAGATCACATAGCTAACTTCAGATGGCCTTTCGACTCATTTGGTAAATGTTAGTTGGCTGTTCATACACCAGACGTACGTGAGCACTGAGCAAGTGTGTTTGCATTCACCAACATCTCAGCCTCTCTCTCAGGCTTTGCCAGGTTTCCAACCCACAACCGGCTGACCCTTGGTTTAAATAAATGCTACCATTTATTTAAATGAATCCTGAAGGAAATCAGCCTCTTTCCCCAGAGAAGAAACATATTCCATTCCATCAAGATCTGTTCGCTTCGGCAGCACAAGCACCATGCTATCAAGATCACAGTTCTCCACCTCTCTGAAACTCATCATGTGTGGCAAATCATAAATCTCTTCAAAACTGTCAAAGCTGACAAGGACCAAATAAAAGCACATAGGCTGTGGACTATAGGGTTTTGAAGAGGGCAGAACATTAGCCAAATGGGAGAAAGTGGGATTTAGTCAGCCAGCGAGTATTTATTCAGGTACTCCAGGGCTGAGGTCAGAGTCTGTGGGCTGCTAATGAGTTATTGGGTGGGTTTGAAAGACAAGTAAACTGCAGAATGATCCTGAAATGTGGTGGAGAGGACTAAATATGAGATAAGCAATTTGTACCAATTGAAAATTTAGTTTAGGGGGTGGCGGAGGATGTGTACCTCCTGACTGATTCTGGGGAGGCTTATGCTGGGCTTCGAATGAGTGGGGGACTGAAGGTTTGTCCACGTGTGGAGGACGAGAGGGTGCCAGTGCAGCAGATGCTGAGGGAGTCCCTGGTGCCCTTGGGCCTTGGCAGTTTATGCAGGTCAGCCTCACTTCCAACTGGCAGCATCTGCCTCTTTGCATCAGGCCTTTGTCTAGTGGCCAAGGACTGCTCTACCCATGCACACAGTAGGCCAATCATACTGGAGAAATAGCACCCTGCTCTTCGCAGCTTTCAACCAAAGACTGGCGGAAATTGGTGTTTATATGCCTCAGCTCCCTCATTCCTTGTGCAAGATAACAAAGACTCACATTCTGCACTGGCTGCAGTTTCCCAGTAAAATCAATCTCCAGTTTGGGTGTGGTGGCATATGCCTGTGTTCCCAGCAACTCAGGCAGGAGGATTGAGGGTTTGAGGCCCGCCCAAGCTATTTAGTGAGGCCTTAGGTAACTTAGTGAGGCCTTGTCTTAAAATAGAAAATAAAGGGGGCTTGGGATGTGGTTCAGTGGTGAGTGCCCCTGCGTTCTATCCTTGGTACAAAAAAAAAAAAACAGTCTCCAGTAGTCCACAATGGTAACTTGCTTGATTGCTTGATAACTTTCCTTCTACCAGCTTCCTTCCTTCCTTTATCTCAGTTCCCCATTCCTCTATTCAAATAAACTATTTGCACTTGAATTTGTGCCTCAGAATCTTTTTATGAAGGGAATCTAAACTAGACACACAGGCAGTGAACAAACAATCCGAAGGTCCCTTTGGCTCATTATTTTCCATCTTGTAATCCACTGAGGCTATCAGAAAGCAGAGTAAATGGGGTCTGACAAACACTGTTCCCCCACCCAGAAAATTCAAGGGCATCTTCTCCTAGTACCAAAGAAACCCTGCGCCTTGGGGAATAGCTGTCACAGTGTCAGCTCTGGCCTCGTATTACTGAACCACACACCATCACCTCCCATTATGGAATATGAGAGCCGTCAGGAAAACGCTGAAAAACTGGTGGCAGAATCCTTGTTGTTGCCTCAGGAAATCTCCTGTGTGCCACTTCATCCCTGACCCCATCTGATATGAAAGTGCATGAAACACTTTTAAGTGCAAGTCTAATCACTAATGGAACCCTTAGAGAACAAGTTTTAAAGATCCTGGAAGCTAATGTGCTCACACTGAACACCTCAGCACAAGTCAAGTGGACACATTGATTTTTGGTCCTCCTCCAAGATTGGGCCAGGGGACAATCACAGAATCACGAAGACGCACGGAGAAACTGTTTCCTCCTTAATGAGGTTAAAGCCCTTGCAAATTCAGCACTCAGAATAGTGCTGTTTGGGGGTGTATGCATTTGGGCTTGTTGGGGAGAGCAAATGTTGCCTATGTCTATATGCTAATAAAAGTACAAGTGGGGAGTTGGAGTGGTCATTTGTCATCGTGGGTGGTTATTTAGCAACCTAATGCCCTTCCTTTGGTGATGTGGATCATGATGGAAGGCAGGATCTACTTCCTACTATAGATAGGAGTCAAGCTAGATGCCCTTTCTCTGGTCCCCGGCCACTAGAAGACAGTCGTATAATCCAGACTCAGCAAATCACTTGCTCACACTAGGACTTTTCATTTGGTCTCAGGGACAGTTTTGAATTCCATAGCAACCATGGCATCTGGCTCTCTGCTCAGGTGTGGGGATGTCCAACAACCACAGTGGCAGCAGGGTCAGAGTTTGAGACATTCTAACCTGATTGTCCTTGAAGCATGCCTTTGGCTGTGTCCCTGCTGCCCAGCTTCCCTCAGATCCTGTTTTTAAAACCTAGTTATCATTCTTCTAGTCAATTCCATCAGCTACCCACTGCCTCTCCATTACAGAACTTGGAGTTCAATTCTCTCATGTACAACTCAGTACCCTGACAGGCACAGAAATTGATATTCCATCATGTGCAGTCTCCTCTGGAGGTCAGAGACCTGGGATCTTGTCCAGAGAGCATCTAGATGTTGTTGGGGAGGACTTTGTCTCCTTCCCTTTAGCAGGACTAACTGCTTAATTGCTAAGGCGACTTTCCTACTCTAAAATTCTTTGATTCTACATGAAGAGTTGACCAATGAAGGATGAAGAAACTTGAAGGATGCAGAAGAGTCTGTGTCCTCAGTGGTAATGGAGGGGGGGATACAGAAAAACATTTCATTGTGTGAAAACCATAGTTAGATTGAGTCCAAATCAAATCACTTGAGTGTCTTTAGTCACTATATGTGCATAGGTCCCTCAACAGTGAACACACCTGCTAAACATCACTCTAGTATAGCAAAGGTGAGAAAATCTATGATACAATTAATAAAGTTCACAGACAGCTGTTCTGCAAATAGGCCCACTGAAGACAAAGAGAATCAGAGATGATAGGACAATGAGAGAGACTGGCACTTTTACATCACAGAAATCTAAATAGTTGTGTGGTCCTTAAAACAAAGGTGAGGAGTGGGAATGTGATTGTTAGCATGCATATATTATGGGAGACAGGGAGTATTTTATTTTTAAGCCTTCCTGTAAGCAAAGGGAAGATCACACGATAGCAAATGCAGGAAAAACCAGTGGGAACATTATGAGTCAGGAAAACTTTTATGGTTAAGGGCAAACCAATCTTTTTGGAGGGAGCTTGTAAAAGAGCTTTTGAAGGAGTGGGGGACATCTGTAGTTTGAAAGATGCATAAGAGGTATTTCAACCAAATGCAATGGCAAATCCTTACGTGGCTCCTGATGCACACACCATCAGCTCTAAATAGGCATTTTTGAGACAATTGGGGAAACTTGACCATGGACTAAATATTAGATGATGTTAAGAAATTATTGATGATTTCCTTGGGAGAAGTCACATATTTTGGTTATTTTAAAAGTCCTTATCCATTAGAGACACAGAATCAATTATACAGGTGCAATAAAAGAACGCCCAAGGTTTGCATTAGAATACTCTAGAGCAGAACTATTCCAAGTGTGGTCCATGGGTTGGTGCCAGTTTGCAAACTGTGTTCTCTTGAACTGTAATAAGTATAGAACTCACAATAAGTATTTAGAAATGGTTGTAACACATGGACATTGCCATGGCATCCAAGCCGTGATTGGTGGACTCATCTCTTGACCAGGATGGAAGCTAGTTTAGGTGCTAAGTTGTGTGTGGCATGGGCCTGAGATGTGTGCTGGTATGGGTCCATGGCAAACTGAAAATCAACCAAAAACATCTCTTGCCATTGATAGCCTTAGAAACAATGCTTTGGCATATACACAAAAAGGGTGGGAGACTGAAGAAAGACAGGAGCAGAAAGTTGATGACTGTGCATAGGTCCAGATGTTGGGTGATAAGCATGTGGGGCTCAACATTCTTCCCTCTACTTTTGTGAGTATTTGAAAATCGAGATCATTTGGTAGATTAAAAAGTAAAAAAAAAAAAAAAAAAAAACCAGCAACAAAAAACAGCCTGTCAATGAAGTTATTTTAAGTAGGTATGTCTTAAATGTATCATATGTTTAAGCATATATAAAGTTATATTTAGATATTATATCTAAACATAAAGTACATATATGTGTGTTTCAAATAAAATAACAGAAATAACATGCAGAACCTACCGTTCACATAAAGATGACATGTAATTATTTAAGCAAACTTTGTTTTCCAGACAAGTTTTAGGTAAACAAAAAGTAATTTGCTGGATCATGAGCTTGGTAAGGTTTTATTATATAATAAACTCTGATTACATAACAAACTCCTCCAGGGGATGGATTCTGTATGATACCACTTCTATGTCTCCATAGCACTCAGCCCAGGCTATCGCAAAGTAAATGGTGCTTAATAAACGTTGGTTGATAGGCTGAACTCAGGAAATGAATTGTTAGGAACAGCAGTTTAATTCTTCATGCAGTAACTCTATGCTGCTCAATCAATTTGAAAATCAGTCTCCTGAATCCACCCTCTTGGAGATTTGTCACAGAGTGTTTGAGCTTGATGGGGATTTGGAGCTGGGTTGGTGTTCTCATTTTGCAGATGCAGAAATGAGGTCCAGAGGCATTATATGAGCCTCGCTGGACACACTGCTTGTTAATGATGTTGTTGTTGCCTCTCACGCCTACAGTTGGACTCTTCCTTCTGCAGAAATCTCTCTCAGAGGGTACAAACCTACCTCCTACTCTGGCGCTTGTTCTTGGTTTTAAAATTGCATGATTTTAGAAAGAAAGAAGTTGTCAAACTGGCTCTACCAGGAGGCTACACAGGAGACATGATTAAAGAGCAAATTCAAGTCAAGATCAATATTTACCCAGCACTGGTCCATGCCTGGCCTTGTAGGGGAAGCTCTCCGATCTTCAGGAACTTTCTATCTATTCAGGGAAGGAAAGCGTACACATGTGAATAGCTAGTGATCCTGCTACTAAAAATGCAAATGAATACTAGTGAAAGCCCTGGGGATTAAAGAATGGAATGTTCTGGAAGGTCGGGTCCCAGAAATGTGGAAAGGACAGATCACCTGGGTTACAGCCATGTATATCTGGGTTGTGCCTTGTTGCTGTTGGCATTAAGGAGCTTTGGAGGTTTCTGTGGGACACTGGATGGGGTCCCCTCAGTGATCTGGGAAGGTCAATGTAGTAGCAACGGTGTGAAGGAGAAGCTGGAATAGGAAGAGCTGGAGGCAGGGAGAAAATTAGGGAGATGAAAACCGGAAGCAGGTGATGACAGTTGGAAGGGAAAGAAAAGACAAACACAAGAGGTTTATCTTCTTAAGATGTGAAAAATCACACCATTACATGCCAGGTGACAAACAAATCTGAACTGATCTGCACCTCCTAGATTAGGTACTACTGACATTCCTATTTTACAGATGAGTAAACTGAGGCACAATAAGAGGACGTAACATGCCCGAGGACACACATCAATAAATGGCAGAGCCAAAATTCACACCCAGGCAGTCTGGCTCCCGTGTCTCTGCTCTAAACCACCACTCTGTGCTACTGATGGTGAGATATTTAGAAGGCAGTCATAATGAATCTACACTTGGTCCAGCCTGAGTGACAGAGGAAATATTAATGTCTGTGATGAATTAGAGACATCTGATGAGAATATCAGCCTGTGGGAAAGCGGATACACTTGGTTTTTTATATGCATTTTATTTAAGGTGGCATGGACACATCTGAGTAGAATGTCTCATTGGAAGTTAGAGCCATCATACAGAAGCTTGTTCAAGACCAGAAAAATTGGCAGAGAGATGATAATTGAAGTTTTTCGAGAGGATCAGTTCAAAAAGAATAGCATGTGTGAAGTTGAACTCTATGAAATTGCAGGAATGTGGCTATTTGGACCAATGACAATGATGATTCCATATGGATCAACCAGGACTCAAGATTGTGCCTTGGGGCAAGAGGTCAGGTTCAAGTCAGGAGAGAGAGGAAATGCTTGGGGACTGGGGAGCCTATGAAAAAGCATGTGTTCACATAATTTTACACTTTTTATTTTAAAATTGCATTTTTGTTTATTTTTGAATAAGCAAGATGGCCATATGGTTGATAATTCAAAAAGGAATTTTATCCATTAGCTTGATTACAAGGTACAGAAAACAGAACCCCCTCCAGCTAGTTTAAGCAGAATGGGATTTGCTACAAATGAATCAAAATCAAGCAAAGCCTGGGGGAATAAGCTATAAACGGGGGTTCTAGCAACAATCCCTCTCCTCATACCATAGAACTAGAGAGAACTAGGGAGCTATGGCTGTCCCACTCCTGTGCCAGGCTTCTCAACCATGGTCAGCAAATCTCTCCCCTTACTCTCAGCAAGCTCAGAGTCAACTGCAGCTGCCTCAGTCAAGAAGATATTGCCACCATTTTTTTTTAAATTTTCTAATTTTTTAGTTGTAGTTGGACACAGTACCTTTATTTTACTTATTTATTTTTATGTGGTGCTGAGGATCGAACCCAGAGCCTTGCACATGCTAGGTGAGCGCTCTACCACTGAGCCACAACCCCAGCCCCTTGCCACCCCTTTTAACCTCAGAAATCTGCTGTCTCCATTTCCTCCACTCTCAACAAAATGGATGTTCCATGCTCTGCTTGTTTCTTCAGAAGTCATTTTGAGTCTCATACTTATGTCTGGCTGGTGGAACCCAAGTCACATGCCTGTAGCACAATAGAAAGAGCAGCTGGGAAAGGTGTATTCTCAAGGCTAGGCGATCTCTAAATATAGAGAGGTATTCAAAGATATTTGGGCATATGCAAATGATAGCTGTCCAGGAAGAAATACAGTTGAAAAATCCTTTTCACCCTGGTGGAAGGTCATTTCAAAAATGGCACCCAATAAATCATGCCCCTTTATGTTCTTGCCCTTATGTAGTCCTTTCCCACAATGACCCTGATCATTATCATGTGACTTGCTTTGGCCAATGGTACATCAGCAATGTGATGCAAGCAGAGAGTTGAAAAATGCTTTGTGCAGCGGGACTGGGGTCTGAATGCTCTAAGACGATCTTGGGATGTCTAGCGATTGGGGCTGACGGTTGACTACCTCCAGGTAATACCCCAGTCAACAGCCAGCCCCAACTGTCAGACACTCCAGGTTATCTTAGAGCATTCAGCACCAGTTGATCAGCCAGGTGTCGGAAGCGACATGAGTAGCCTCCAGCTAACTGCTCAACTAAGTCTGGCACAAGTTGATACTTTCAAAAATAGTAACTAAGGGATGGGGTATAGTTCAGTTGGTAGAGTGCTTGTCTTTCATGCACAAGGCCCTGGTTCAATCCCCAGTACCACACACACATACACACACATAAAATTAATAACTAAACTTTTAATTTTGAGGTATTAGATTTATGTGCAGTTATAAGAAATAGTAGAAATCCTGTATATCATTTACCAGTTTCCATCAATACCAGTACAAAAAAAAACTATAGTACAATACCACAATCAGGATATTATCATTGAGACAGACAGATTGTGCTCAGATCTCTCCATTTGACTTGTACTCATTTCTATATATTTAGTTCTATGTATTTTTTCTTTAGCTTTTGTTTTGTTTTTGTGGTACTAGGGATTGAACCCAGGGGTGCTCTACCACTGAGCTACATCCCTATCCTTTTTTATTATTTTATTCTGAGATAGCTTTTCCCTAAATTGCTGAGGCTGGACTCAAACTTGTTGTCCTCCTGCCTCAGCCTTCAGGGTTGCTGGGATTACAGGCATGCACCACTGTGCCCAACATTTCTATGCAATTTTGTCACATGTGTAGGTTCTTATATCTACTACCACACCAAAAAGTGATATTGGTGATTTATAAAGTTTATTTATTCAATTCTTTTAATACTTTTGAAGAAGCTGGGTTTTTTTTTTGTTTCATTGATTGTCTACATTATTGTTTCCAGTTTCGTTGATTTTTGCTTTTAATTGTATTATTTTCTATTTTCTGCTTACTTTGGATTTATTGTGTTCTTCATTTTCTAATTGCTTTTATGTATGTATGTATTTATTTTATGGTACTGGGGAATGAATCCAGGGATGCTCCACCATTGACCGTCATCCACAGCCCTTCTTGATTTTTTATTTTGAGACAGGATCTTACTAAGTTGCTGAGGCTGGCCTCACACTGGTGATCCTCCTGCCTCAGCCTCTCGAGTTGCTGGGATTACAGGCGTGCACCCTGTGCCCAGCTTTTTCTAATTTCCTGAAGTAGGAACTTAGGTTTTGGATTTGTTGCCTAGTATCTGAAATAAGCATTTATTGTCATGCATTTCCCACTCAATCCTATCAGCAGTACTTGAGATTTTGTGCTTGACTTGTAGGTTTCAATGTTGCTGCTTATTTTATTAACAAAGGTTCTATTTGATTTTCAAATATTTGAAGATATTCCTGATATTCTGTTATTGATTTTCAGTTTGACTCCCTTACTTCTTTAAAGAGTCTTGTTGGGATTTGAGGATTTGGCTCATGAAGGCCTTATTTTAAGGGAGATGGCAACTAGTCACTGTCATGGATGAGAGGGGGCTTCAACTGAGGAGCAGTGGCAGCAGAGGCTGGGGTAGAAAAGGACAAGAAACTACTAAGCATGGAAAAAATGGGGCCACCTCACAATTTCACTGCACCCTACTACAAAGGATTTTCAGGCACATTTTGCTTATATACATGTTACACAGTCATTAACATATGAAGACTCTGAGACTTAGCAATTAACTTCATAACTATAATTTACAGATAAGGAAACTCAGGCTCAGAGAGGCTGAGTGACTTGCCTGAGGATGCACAGTGACAGAGATGGATCTCCAACCTATGTTGTCTTTGCCTCCAAATTCCAGTGCCTTGTTGTGTCATAGCTATTTCCTGGTTACAGAAGATGGGAACAAAAGGAAGAAGAAACGCTGGAGAGAAGCAAATTTGATTAAATAAAGAGTGTTTTTGAAGGACAGGTGTGTGTGTGTGTGTGCAATTATTATTATTTTTTTAAATAAGAGAGATCTGTAAATACATGATAGGAAAGGGATATGACAAAGGGGAAGGATTAGGCTACAAAAGGGTGGGGTTAGAATGTCACAAATCAGAGGCATTATTCCATCCCTACTGCCAAGGATTCTAACCAGAGCATCCAACAATTGCACACCAAATGTTTCCCACACCATCTAGTGAGGCAATGTGGCAAGCATGAATCAGAATCTTAGGGGAACTTAGAAAGGCAACCAGGAAACTTTCAAAGTTTGAATATACACAAACTACATTCTCATGAAATAATACAGGGCACTTAAGGCATCGGACAGTAAGCTGTAAATCCTGAAGGAAGCAGAAGAGAAAATAACAGAGGTCAGGGATGCTAAATCTAGTCTTCCGTGAATGTACTACCCACTGAGACAGCGGCTGGAAAGGGTTCAGTTGGGGGATTTGGAGAATTCTTGGATCCGTTGCTGGTAGCACCACTATCTCTGATGCACAGCTCTCAAGGATTAAGAAAAAAAATAAAAAGCAATGAAAGAATAAAGCCAGTGGGTTTCAGACAATCACAAAGGCCTGCTCTGGTCCCAGGCATAGTTGCCAAGAGAATCATTTATGCTGGAGGGATTGTCATTCGGATTGCCTTAATATATTCTTTTCTCTGAATGTGAACTTGCTCTTGTGAGGACTGAATTCTCAGATACACAGGGAAGACGATTAGCCAAGCACTGTGAAATGACCTGAGTATGAACAGGAATGGGGAGAGGAAAATGAACGTACAAATAGATGGAGTCCAAATGCAGAAAAAAAAAAAAGCAACAACAAAAAAAGCTAGTCTGTCATTTAGTTGGATGCACACAGACCAATGCACATATGAAATTGATCATATCTGCTTCATTTTTCTTCTGTTGAAGGATGTTAAAGTAAATTGCATTAAGGTATTTCACCTTTAAATCTTTCAGTAGATATCTCTAAAGATAAGGATATATTCCTACATTTTGTTTGATAAATGGTTGAGCATCAGCATTTGCTGGACTGGGTTTGCTAAGGCATGGGTGAACATAACAGAGCTCATGTTCCTTCAATGGAGTGGGGGATACAAGGTTTTGGTATAATTAAGTTATAAAGGTGATGCTCATGATGCTGTGGGAGTGTATAAAAGGGAGACCCCTCCCAGGGGGGTCTGGAAAGACCTCTCTCAGGAAGGAACCCTCCAGGCAGAAGGAACTACATGTGGTATGGCCCTGAGGGGTGAGGAGGGGCAGCATCTTGGATCAGAGAATTAAGTATGGATTCTGAGGCCACCTCTACTACCTATTAGCTCTTCATGTTTCAATTTCCCCACCTCTAAGTGGGCATGTTAACAATGGTGTTTGAAATGATGGCTGACACTTGGCATGCACTCAACCATCCTATCCTAAGTCATGTTGGTTAAGGAAGTGGCCTATGGGCAGAGGATGCCAGTAGCTAAGAGCATCAAAAAACATGGAAGGGATTATGTGACAAGTCAGGTTCTACATTTTTAATTTTTCAGGGGTTTACCTAATTACAAAGGTGATGTCTACTTTCACATTAGAGTACCCACATGTCCACATCTTTGTCAACACTGGATAGGACTGAACTTTTCAATGTTTGGCCAACCATATGAATTTTAAAACTCTATTTCTTGATGACAGATTGAGTGGCTTTCATAGTTATCAACAGTTTGCCTTTCTTCTTCTATAAAATGCCTGTTCCTTCTCTTAGTTCATTTTTCAATTTGTCCGCTATTTTAATATTTATTTACAGAAGCTCTTCATATGTAATATTGAACTTCTGTTTGTTAATGCCTGTAGCAAAATTTTGTCTCCCAGTCTGGCTCTATCTTTCAGCATTTCTCTTCCTTAAAACAAACAAACAAACAAATAAACAAAAAACCAAAAACAAACAAAACCCCCTTTTTTTTGTTTTTTTACTTTAAGACTTCATAAATAGAAGACTAAAAAGAAAACACACCTCTACATACTCATCATTTGGACTCAGTACCTTGTGGATATTTTTTATATGTGCATCATCTTGTTTCTATTGAACTATTTTATTTTTAACTACTTTATTTATTTGGCATTGGGCAATGAACCCAGGGACTTTTTGCCACTGAGCTACATCCCCAGCCCTTTTTACTTTTTGTTTTGAGAAAATGCCTTTAGTTGCCCAGGCTGGCTTCAAACTTGTGATCCTCCTGCCTTAGCCTCTTGAGTTGCTAGGATCATAAGCATGTGCCACTGCACTGGTAGACTAAAGTATTTTAAGGGAAATTACAGATATTAAGATATTTTATCCTAAATACATCATAAGCATATTTTCTCACAAAACATAATGCCATTATCACAGATTTACAACTTTTGAGTCCAAGTTTTTTCATTTTTTTTATAGTCAAAACTGTCAATCTTTTCTTCTATTGTTTTGCAGGGCCATCTGTTTTAGGAAGAACTTCTTCATGCAGAAATCATAGAAGTGTTATTCATAGTATCATCTGTAACTTTTATACTATTATTTCTTATACCAAGATCCTTAATCTATCTGCAATTTATTTTGGTATATCATTTGAGATGGATATCTCATCATTTATTGGATACTTAAGTAAGTCATTCTTTATGAGCATTTGAAATGTTATCCTTAACAAATTCTAAATTTCCACAAATATGGCAACTTATCTTCTTCTCTCTCTTAAACACTTCTAATAATTTCCCATTGCCCTTAGAATAAAATTCAAATTCTCTACCCTGACCTACAGGGCCCACTATCTATGATTCTGAAATTCATCTTGTCCTCTGCAGATTGTGGGACTTCTGTCTAGATGCTTCCAGTTCATTCCAAGGTGTTTCACATTAACTCTACACATGCTGTTCCCTCTGCCTGGATCCCCCAGTCACTTGCTGAGGCTCCTGAGATTCCTGCAGCTCTCACTTTGACTGCCCCTTCTTCACGTTTCCTCATACCACTCAGTCCAGAGTGCCTACTCCAGCCACCACCACATCATTCTTTATTCTCCCAGAGCACTTCTCACTCTTCAAAATCACCTTGCCTTTGTCTCTGAGTGCCATGAGAGCAGGAAACCTTCTGGGTCTGCCTCACTACTATATTTGCTCAGTCGCAGCTGTGGAATGCATGAGTTATTAGGGCAAAAAAGATGTGGTTTATAATTCTGATAGAGGATGCTAAATTGCCCTGAGAAAGGCTAGCCCAATTGGCCTTCTCATTGCTGCTAGCCAGAGCACCTGTTTCCCTGAAAATTCTCATGCACTAGATATCTTTCAACTTTTAATTTTTTCCTATTTTTCCAAATATATTCAATTTATTTATTCTTAAATTTATGTATTAATTTTTACCAGTATTAGGGATTGAATCCAGGGGCTCATTACCACTGAGCTACCTCCTCAGTCTTTTTCTTTCTTTCTTTCTTTCTTTTTTTTTTTTTTTGATACAAGGTCTTGCTAAGTGCTGAGGGTCTTTCTAAATTGTTGAGCCTGGTCTGAACTTGCAATCTTCCTGCCTCAGCTTCCCCAGTTGCTGGATTATAGGTGGGATTACAGGCATGTACCATCACTCCTGGCTCTTTTCAACTTTTAGTTATTCTCTAAAATATTAAAATTGAGACACAAAACAAACAACAAAGTGTGTCATTGTTTTCTACATTTCAGTTTTTTACAGTTAAGTGTAATTAGACATGATTTCATATTTATTAAACGTGTGTGTGTGTATACATATACACACAGATCATCCCCAACTTACGATGGTTTGACTTAACAATTTTCTAAATTTTTGATGGTGCAAAAGTGAAATGGTATTTAATTCACATTCCATACACATTCATTGGAAACCAAACTTCAAATTTAGAATTTCTGTCTTTTGCAGGACCAACAACATATGATACTCCCTTGAAATGCTGGACAGAGGTAGTTAGTCGCAGCTCCCAACCAACCAAATGGTCACAGGGGAAAACAATCAGTACTCAACAGTATACTGTGTTGTTAAGTAGGTTAGGTATGATAAATGCATTTCTGACTTCCAGTATTTTCAGCTTAACAATGGATTTATCAGGGCATATCACAAATTAATGGACCTATCAGGCCATATTAAGATCTACTGTAGGGGCTGGGGATGTGGCTCAAGCGGTAGCGCACTCACCTGGCATGCTCGGGGGCCGTGGTTTCCATCCTCAGCACCACATACAAATAAAGATGTTGTGTCCACTGAAAACTAAAAAATAAATATTAAAAAATTCTCTTTCTCTAAAAAAAAAAAAAAAAAAAGATCCACTGTAGGACTGGGGATATAGCTCAGTTGGTACAGTGCTTGCCTCACATGTACAAGGCCCTCGGTTCAATCCCCAGCACCCCCATTTCCACAGCCCCCTCCCCGCCACATACAAAAGATCCAGTGTAAATTGAGGAGCATCTCTATAGTTTTTTCTAACTGTTCATATCCTTTGCCATTTTCTTCTTCTTTTTCTAATGCTTTTGAAGAATTTTTTTTGAAGAAAAAGTCTGTTATATGCATTTCAAGTGTTTTTCCTAGTTTTGCTCTTGTTATGGCTTTAAGCATTTTTTGTTTTTTTGCCTGTAGAATTTTATGTTTTTAGGCAGTCAACTTTAGCAAATCTTTCCTGTACAATTTTTAGGCTTTTCCATTCTTAGAAAGATCTTCCCTATGCCAAGATATCCAGATCTCTCCCTACACACATATGTTTTAATCTAGGATTTTTATGATTTTTTTTTTTTAACTTTGAAATCTTTAACCCATCCAGCATTCATTTTGATATGGGAAGCAAGATGGAGAATCCAGTCTTTTTTTACTCTCCCTTCCCCAAAGTGGGAAACCAATTTCTCTAAGATGATTTGCTAAAAACACTATCTTTTCCTTATAGATTTGAAATGCTCCCCTCATGTTATTAATTTTTGGATTAATTCAAGTTTATTTTAAAAAATTTAAAAACATATTATCCTTCATAGTATCTACAAAAGCATGGATTAGATGTAGTAAGATGCAGCAGTTGTATTTTTCAACATATGGAACTGAACAAATTAACAATTAAATAAACAGCGTCTGTGTGGCACCAAAAGTGATTTCGTGTGCTAACAGCTGTTTGAGGAAATTGGTCAGAGAACTGCTATCAGTTCTCCAAATGAAAACCTCCACTTGGAAGCAGGCCATGGAGGCTGGCTGGTAATCTGATCTGTTGCCTGAGTAGAATGCTGGTTGCCCAGTAGGGCTGACTTTGTGAAAATCACCCAGAGGTTCAGTGATATATGTATTTTTCCAAATAATTATCATCTAATGAAATGTTTTCCAAGCTTTAAAAAGTTTTAAAAGTACTGCTGTACTGTTTTGTGCTAATTACTGGTAATACAACCTGTTGCATATGCTCTTAAATACAAAGACAGACTTGGGGGTCCGGTAGCTCAGTGCAAGCTTGCAGGCTTAGCAGGGAGAGACTCCAGCTGAGTTCCATCCCCAGCACTGATTACACAGTCAGACTAACAAAAGGAATGATGCTACACAAACTTAAACACCAGTAGAAGTTTTCTTCTTTAGAGTTCTGATGTTTCTGCAAGCAGATTCATCCTCACAAAGGTCCTGGTAGGTCTGAAAAGGGCCATAGATGATATCATAGGCCAGGCACAATGTTCGTGGGATGAAAAGATGTCAGTGAATTTATCTGCAAGACGGAATTAGACAATAATGCCAAAGGCCAGAGCCTCAATATTCTTATCTGTTAGTCTTTATTAAGGGTTTACAGAGATAAATGGAAAATTCTATCCTAACCTCCTGGAGATCAAATTAAGGAGCATGATTGCAGGTAATCAAATATCTTACACTGACCTGTCACAAATAATTAGAAGCAAGCAAACATGTCCCATGATGTTTTACCCTAAGGTGATTCTGGCTTTTAGACTTCCACATTCTCTGCTTTCAGAGTCCACCTCTTGCTGGGCACCCTCAGCACTGATAGTCATAAAGATCACACACTTTTAATACTAAAATCTCCCTGTAAAATAGAAGCTGCTGATTCTTAACATGGAGATTCAATTAGTTTTTATTTTTTTGCCCTTTAAAACAGTATAAAATAACCCAGTTTCCTTCTGTTGGTAGCCATGGAGACTAATTGCAAATATTTCAGTGGCTGAATAATTCTAAAAATGACAACAATCTTCAAGGGCATCTATTAATATGCTTCACATTAAAAAACAATAAAGCTAGCAATCTTAAAATTCCACTGCCAGGTTTTCAATAAGTCCCACTGGTTTCACAATTATTTGGGAGCCCATTGATTAGGAGAAAGAGGTAGATGATGCTTGTCAAAGGAAAAGCTCGAGTCTTACTTTCTTGAGTTCCTCTCAAAGGCCTGTTCATTTCCAATTTTCTACAACATAGGTGTGCTTCCACTGGTGTCTCTGCCCTTCAACTTGGAAGTTTCTTAACCTCTGATCTTCCCTGAACTGGAAGCCTCTGAGTATGTATGTCATTGCTAACCTTTAAAAGGCTCCTCTCTCCATCCAAGAGTCCCCAAGAGACCTTCCTGAGATGGTGCATTCACTTTTAATGTATACTTTTAGGCTGCCCCATTTGCATAATCTGCTTTCTGGAAAGCTTTTTGGAGCCTTATGCCAATTAAATTTCACCTCAAGTTTCTCAAAATCCAATTGTAGCAGGTTGCCAGCTTTTGTTGCTTCCCAAAACAAATGATATAAACCTTTCTGTTAAGGTAATTTGCTTGAAGAACTGTCAAGGCAGGGATTAGTATGAGGCTTCCAATTATACTTCCAGAGAGCTCTGTGCCAGGTGATGTAATTCTACCAACCGAGTCTGAAACCAGCCTCCAGGACACGACCTGCAGAGCAGAGCATCTGCTAGTGCAAGCCTGCAAGGGCTATTTAAAGAGCTCCAGGCCTGGAGGACTGGGGCAGGGTGGCAATGAAGCCCTGTTCTAGGCAAGTGTTTGTAATGGAGCTCAGGGTGTTGGAGGCAAGGACAGGAAAGGGTGAGGGCAGGGGACTGTTCAAAGGATGACAGAGGATGCTGGTGGCAGATAGGCAGAAGAAAAAATAACAAGAGGAAGGATGACCCTCCACCTGGGCAAAGAATTCCTGTTCTCTTCAAGCACAAACTGACAAGCCCACATGGTGTCAGGCTAGAAGATTATAACTGCACTTATACATATTTTGGTGGGTGTTTATTTCTTCTCACCTTTCACATTGCAATAGGATGGAGACAAAAAAAATTTTTTTTTAAATTTGTGAATTTTAGTTGTTATCTTAGATGGTCCAAATTTTCCTTCCACATTCCTCATTATAAAATGGAAATTCTGGATCTTGGAGAAGAGTCAAGGCTAGTGTGGCGTACTTTTTAGAACCATATTTAAAGGCTGGGCAGGGTGGCATACGCCAGTAATCATAGCAACTCAGGAGGCAGAGGCAGGAGGATTACAAGTTCAAAGCCAGCCTCAGTAACTTATAGAGGTCCCAAGCAACTTAGTGAGACCCTACCTCTAAATAAGACATAAAAAGGGCTGAGGATGTGGCCCAGTAGTTAAGCACCCTTAGGTTCAATCCCTGATACCAAACACAGACAACCAAAAAACACCAAATTTAAATCCCTATATTATTTCAGGACTTATGATCTCAAGCATGTGGTCTCCATCTTACAACTTGGTTTAATTCTTATAGTTGATTCAGTATATAGAGCTTTGTCCCTTCACGAAACTTACCCCACTAAAGCCTGTTCTCTTAGGTTGGACTCTCCCAGGGGTAGACCCTGAGCCAGGGATTCTGATATAAGAGGTGTATTAAGGAAAGGCTCTCAGAGACACCTGTAGGTAGATGGCAGGAAGAAGATGGGGAAAGGGTAAAGCAGAGCAAGGCTGTGATGTCTTGCAGAGTCTCAGTCTTGGCCTGATCCTAGGAAGAGAGAACTCTGGAGCATAGATTGAGGCAAGGAAGCCAGGCTTCTGACTCCTAACCCTGCCAGTCAGCCTTGGCCAGGGTGAATGGGAGGTGGCATGGGAGGTAGGTTTCTTCACAGGGGCTGACTGACTTCAGGACAGATTGCAGGTGCCAGTGTGTAACTGCAAAGCATTTAGCTGCGGGCAGGTGCCAGTGTGTAACTGCAAAGCATTTAGCTGGGCACACACAGCTGTCAAGAGACCCCAAAGGACCCAGGGGTGGGGTGGTGTTGGGGGCGGGGGAGGGGCAGGGGGAGGTACCAACAGCACTGCCACAGTGCTGTACCTATGCTGCTGCCTGGTCTCACTGCCAGCACCAGTTATGGATCTTTTATCACATTCTGCTGCAACAGGAAATGAATAATATCTTTTGAAAGTCCTGGAATTGGCTTTTCATTATCTAGAGAAGCACTCGCTTCCCCCAGTGGGTAGAAGTGTGCGTCCCTGGAATGCTTCTGTAAGACTGAGCAGCCATCCCGGTTGAAGATGACCCGGGCCATCTGGAAACAGCGGAGGGCATACTTTTGGCTCTCCTGGCCCCCCAGTTCAGTGATTTTCTGAGACAGGCAATGGCAGACAGATGCAGAGAGTAGATTCCCAGAGACTGGCTGCAGATGGCCAAACACTTCATAGAATCTATCCAGGGATTTCCGAAGTTCATCCTCCTCCTCTGTGGTCTCTGATTGGCCTTTCATAGAAATGTCAAACCAGATGTTCTCAGAAGTCCAGGAGTCTTTTTGTTCAGTATTTGGATTACTGCTGTCTGCAAGATAAAATACATTCCAATAATCAAGCATATAATTAAAAATATTGGAAAGCAAGCCAAGAGCAGATGATGTCTTTTTTCAGTTCAACACACAACTGCTCCTAGGGAACTAGCAATGGCAGAATCAGCTGATTTCAGAATCTGTTCTCACCAGACTCAGCCCTTGCCACTTACTTGCTCATCATAAGAGCACCTTACTTGCATGTATCAGGGTCTTAACCTGGGGTTGCTGCATGGCAATGCAGGTGGTTGTGAATCTGGATGGGAAAAAATCGTTTTTATTTTTATTAACCACTACTTAAAATTAAGCATCGCCTTCCATGATGAATGTAGGCAACAAACCACAATATTAACTGCAATCTTTATGGCTCTGTTACCAAGAGATCACAGCTATTTTCATATCACACTGTAATGTGTAAAAGATGCTTTGAAATATTTATGCCTATCATTATGCTATTTTGTTCCCACCAAATTCATGTGTTGAAGCCCCAACCCCTCATGGGATTGTATTCAGAAAGGACTTTTAGGAGGTACTTAAGATTCAATGAAATCCTTAACGATGGGGTTCTAATCCAATGGTATTGGTGGACTTATAAGAAGAGGAAGAGGTGGAGGAAGAGAGAAGAAGAAAGAGACCAGGGAAAGACAATATGAGCACACAGTGAGAAAGTGGCCTTATGCAAGCCAGGAGAAGTGTGCTTGCCAGAAACCAACCATGCTGGCATCCTGATCTTAGACTTCCAGCCTCTGGTACTATTAGTTATGGTATTTTTCTATGTCAATCTAAGAAGATCAAGACACACTACTTTGAAATTATCATTTTACATTCATGAATGGATGAATGGATAAAGAAAATGTGTATGTATACATAATGGAGTTTTATTTAACCATAAAGAAAAATGAAATTATGTCATTTGCAGGAAAATGGATGGAACTAGAAACCATTATATAGCGAAATAAGCCAAACTCAGAAGATCAAGGGTCATATGTTTTCTCTCATATGCGGAAGCTAGAGAGAAAAAAGGAAAAGAAAGTATGTGGGGGAATGGCAGAGTGGATTTCATAGAAAGGGATCAGGGAGAGGGAGGAGGGAAGGGAAAAGGAAAATACTGGGAAATGATATTGGCCAAATTATATTCTTATATTGTGTGCATGTATAAATGTGTAGCAACCAATGCCACCACTATGTACAACTGTAATACACCAGTTTTAAAAAAATCGAAGTATTAAAGCATTTTTAGAAAGAAAAAAAGAAGAAAGAAATTATCACAGTTATTATACCTGATACTAGATTTTATGGTTTATGCATTAATTAAAAAGCATACATTCATTACAATAGCATATATTTGTTTTAAAAATACTCCAGTGTTTTTTTTCTTAGTAATCCTATATTCAGTATTTTACTTTATGTATTTAAAAATATTATTCTGTGAAAGGGTTGATAGGCTTCAGCAGACACTAAAGGGGCCCATGGCACAAACACTGTGAAGCCACCTGATTAAACAGTTCTTAGCATTTACACAAATTCAGACATTTTCTTTCTTGATGTCCTATAATAATTCTACAAACTATTTCTAAATTAAAATCACCACCTTCATGTGTTTTCAAAGGCAGAGTAAAAAATAAACTGAGTCATTTAACCACAGACAATAAGAAATCAGAACTGAAGCCAAATCCTAGTCCTTTCTGAACCTCTCAGACCACTCGGATTCTTGATATAGGGATCTCTTAGGTCTTTTGAAACACAGGGCTTTCTTTCCTATTAATGAGTTCAAGAAAAGATTTGTACAAATAATTAATCTGAATTATTTAGTTTGTAGAATTCCTTATATATCTGTTTTATTCTATAACATTTTATACTTTGAATCAATATGTTTTCCCTTTTGTACACGGATAAAAGCTTTCATAAATCATTAGCTTTGAAAGTTCCCTGCTTCTGCTAACTTAATTAACAGCTATGATTAAAATATTTGCATTAATTAATGATAAAGGAAAGTGCTTGCTGCAGTGGGTGGAGCTTTAGAAAAGGGAGGGTTTGGGATTTTGCCCTAGTTTTGCCAACAGTTAGATATGTCGCCTTAGCCACGACATTCAACCTTTCTGGTCTTCAGTATTCTCACCTTCAAAGCAAAGTTCTACTAAATCAACTCTCTCTTTTCTAGAATGTCTATGGTATTATAAGGATGAGAGAAGTAGATTATACAAAAAGAATATGGATACATGTCCTGAGACACACACACATGAACAAGCATTTATCTATCCAATACACATTTATAGAAAGCAAATACTAAGGCAATTAATCATTGTAAGTTGCTGCAATATATAGCAAAGGTTGGTGATGTGGTTTGAATCCGGACTGACATACTTCTAGACATCAAACTGAAAATTAAACACAAGATATACAAAGATACATAACAATGTGATGACATTAACTGGAACAGTGTGAACTCAATGGAGAAATGCAGTATAAGGTAAGGATTAGCATGTAACAGAAGGCCACTTGCAAACTTATCCTGAAAGAACCAAAAATCAGAGATCACAGAAACAGAGGAGCAGGGCCAACAAAGACGAAGCTGCAAAAAGAAACAAAAACTACTTATAACTGGTTCGAGTTCATCTCCTTTACCAGCTGACCATGTTCCCAGCATCCTGAGACAGCCTGGCGGCAGGAGAGCAAGAATTCAGAGTGGCCAGACAAGGTAGTGTAACCAACGACAGAAACCAAGTTTTTAAAAGAATTCACTAGTAAGGGATGGTATGCCCACCACACTGGTTCCCAGAAAGCCTAAAACCATGTTGTGTGCTCCTCAATCATGGAAGGAAGGGAGGGAAGAAGAGGAGAAGGAGAAAGAGGAAGAAGCAGCTAAAGAAACTTCCCTGGACTCTGCTAGGACCAGAGCTTCTACCCAGTTCTCCTGTCTGTTTCTCCCAACAACCCCATTGCTGAACTGATGTGTCCTGGGTGGGTGGAAGGAGAGGGAGACAGGCACTGGCCTCTTGCTGGACCTGATGTCATAAAAACAGCAATAGCTTATATTTTCAGAAGTGCCAAGTTCATGAAAACCAAGGAAATACTAAGCAACTGCCCAAGACTGCAAGAGTCTAAAAAGAGACATGAAAACTCAAAGCCACAGGTGATTCTGAACTGGATCCTTTTACTATAAAGTACTTTATTGGAACAACTGAAGCACTGTGAATGGGGCTGGTGGATTAGGTGGTAGAAAGGTATCACTGATAATTTCCTGATGTTGATATTTCAATTTCATTATGTCCAAGAGTGTCCTTGTTTGTAGAATAATCAGGAGTGAGAGATATCAGGTTAGTAATTTACTTTCAAATAATTCACAAAAAAGTTATCTGTACTGTATTTGCAAATTTTCTATGAGTTTGAGGTTGTTTTTAACAAAATTTTTTAAATTTGGAGGGATAATTGTGAAAACGTCTTTGTTGTTCTACTTTAAAATTAAACAAACAAGTGAATGGAAAAAGCCTGGGGACATGGCTAAAAAGCACTTGCCTAACAAATGGTATTGCTATTAATGAACCAAGAAGGAAGGAGGATGAGGGTCCAGATGGCAGTAATAGGTGTCCCTTGCCACCTTCTTCCCCACAGATGATCTGGCTTCAGGTAGGAAGGTAAGAGGAAGGGGGCTGAGAAGGGTCTAAGAACAGGGAGATCCTCAGGAACTCTGGGGAATTTGGAGAATTCTTGAAATCTGCCCACCCATGGTAGTCACATATACAGAACACTCCAAATAGCCCAGCATGTCCTGGTAAGTAATTGGTCAACATACTTTCATATACAAGATGTCAAATATTCACCAGAGTTTCATTTTTAGGTTTAATTTTATTTTAACTTCTGAAACCCAGTGTCCACAAAAAAATCCTCAAAACTAGCCTGCCTCCTGAATTTTTCATAAAAATGTCAAGCAGAATGAGACCCATCTTCAAAGAAACAGCCTTCCCCTTTCAAAAGAACAATAACATATTGTTTGAGTCATTTACTGTGTCAGTTCTTTCCAATGTGCCTCCAGTCCATTTTGGTCTTTGATTTCCTTTAAAATGTGCTTTACTACAGCTACAAAGCCTTCTCTCTAGTCATGTTGCTGTTGTGATCTTTCTGATGTCACTGTTTCTTTGCCAAAATTGAAGCTTATCACCTATCCCTTCCTGATTCCTTTATGTCAGGAAAAGGTAGATCTTCCATAACCTAATCAGTTCCTGCTCAGTGGTCCATCCTCCCAGTTGTGTTCTAATCCCATCTTTTTCTACATGCTGGTATACTACAAATTTTCAGAGCTCTCAATGGTGACAGAAAACCACTTTAGGGAGAGTCTGGGGAAGTTTGGGTATTAGTGATTGCAAAGTGCTGTTTTGTATTGAGTGAAGGGGCTCAAGGATATAAACATCCTGCAGTGCACAGGTCAGTCCCACACAACAGAGAAGTGTTCATCCCCAGAATGCCAATAATGTCCCTACCTCTATTTACTCCTATCCTGAAGAGGAACATTGACACAAAGGACAGATTTTTAGAAAGAGAGAAAGTGCATGCTGAATCCTACTGCACTGTAACAGACTGACTTGGTCTTGAGCTCCCAAGGCAGCTTTGCCATTGCTCCTCCTCTGCTGCACAACACCCCTTGGTCCCCATTCACATTATATGTATTCTTCCCTTCTTTGACCTTGAGATGGCTTTTTCTTCTTTCTTTCTTAGCAAGGACCCCATTCCCAATGATTGGCATTACCTAAATTAGATGAAACTTCCCTTTCTACTTCGACATGCTTTCCATCATGAGCAAGATTTCTTTAGAAAACTATAAGAAGAAAAGGAGGACATCAAGACTTGATACCACAATGTCTTTGCAGGCATTGTTTCAAGGTAACCCATTTACCAGAGTGTCCATTTGTTAAATTTTCTCTTGGAAGTGTGGAGAAGAACATATAGATGTTTGAGATTCTTTTAAAAGAAAAAAATATTTTATAGCTTTAGGAATTAC